TGAGTTTTCTCATCTGCAGGAATATCTTTCACCTCATCTTATGGGGACATAGGATAGCTGGGGACATAGGAAGGACTCATGACAGTGAAAAAACCCATCTTTTATCAAAATCCAGTCACATGTCTGGCAGCCAGCCTCCGTTTGCTGAACTGGGGTCTGAGGACAGTCTCTGAGGAGACCGCTGCCTCTAGGTGGTCTTGGTCCCTGAGGTGCCTGGGCTTACCCATCCCCTCTCATAGACTGAGGGTCAGGGGAGATGGTGGCAGTCTAAATAAAGGCAGAGGAGGGGCTGAGGGGCAGTGACAGCATGGATGGTGTGCGGGGACTGCTCTTGGTGCTTTAAGTAGTGAGCAGTTTTTCTTTGGGGTGGGGTGGAGTTGGAGGCGTTATAGACTAAAGCTCCTCTCCCCCTACTCCTTACACACCTCACCGCCATGTGCTGGGTACTGGGACAGCAGAGAACAGATCGCAGGGTCCTTCCCTCACGGGATCTTCCAGTGTGTGTGTGTGTGTGTGTATGTTTGTGTGTGTGTGCACGCATGAGACTCGATCAGCACAAGTAGTAAATCGATTCACGAGGGTCATTCCTACACTGTAACCAGCCTCCCCAAATAGCCTTTAGAGCCACAGAATGTGAGAACCAGCCCAGTTCTCACCTTGAGCATTTGGGGAATCTGACTGAACCTCACTTTGAGGTTGAACTCTTGGGAGGGGTTTGTCACAGCAGAAACTGCTGTCAAAGCCAGACTTGAAGTCTGGCCTCCCGACCCCTGGCTTGGTTCCACCTCCCCCGTTTCCCTGCTCTGGCTGCAGGAAGAGCCGTCAGGTGCAGCCGCTCCTCCACCGATGCTAGGTGGCACCAGCACGCCTTTGAACAGTAAGGCTCCTATCTGAAATGCTTGGATCCTCTTTGCGGGGTCCTGACGTTTGGGCTGAGCAGCACTCCCCAGAAGGCTTGCCTGCTCGGGGCACTGCCCCAGCTCCTGGTCCCCACCTTCACCAGTGTAGTCCAGCCTGGGTCCCATATCCCCCCTTGGTTCTCGGGTTACCTGGGAGAATGTACTCTTGTGTGATCGATTTTTCCTGGGGGCTCTCTGTGCAAAATGGAAGGTTCTGGCTGGGTGATCAGCTCAGGGGGAGACATTTGAGGGCAATGCAGGCAATAGTACTGGTTCTCCTTAGGTGCTGTTATCGTCTTTCCTTCCTTAAGCTTTGTCTTAAGGAAGACAAACCCTGCCGACACAGTGTGGTCTTTCCCCAGGTCACGTGGCCAGTGTGCGACGGGAGGGAGTTCAGGCTTGCTAAGCACTGCACTACTTGTCTCTCACGAGAAAGTCGAGAAGACAGGACCCTCTGTCGCTTGGTCCCTCCTCTCCCTCCAGCCCCATCTCACGGTTGCTAGCTCTGTGGCTAAGAGGAGTACAGGCTCTGGTTTCAGACTTCTGGGATTAGAATGCCGCCTCCCCACTTGTTCGTGGTGCGACTGCCACATTTATGTCACCTCTCTCCGCCTCAATTTCTCCTTTTGTAAATGGGATGCGGTAGATTGCAAATGGCCTCAAATTTCTTTGTAGCTCCTCTCATTGAAGGTAGAGTGTACTTTCTCGACCCTCTTAAACCTGGGCTGGTCCTGTGCCTTGCTTCTCTAGACTGTTGTGTAAACAGTGGTGTGTGGCTTCTGAGTCGAGGCTTTGCAGTTTGCGCTGTCATTCCCAGAACACTGCGGCCATGCGACTCGGCTGGCTGGCATCCTTGAGGATGAGAGACCACTGGAGGAACATCCCAGCCGTCCAGCCTAAACGGCCCACTCACATGAATCACTGTGTTAACCTACTAAATTTTGGGAGTGATTTGTCGTGTCACCAAAGCTAAATGAAATAGGGGAGAATAATAGTACTTACCTCGTCGTCGCTGTGAGGTTCCCGTGATGTGCGTTGGTTAGGCCAGCACCTAGCGCACAGTAAGCTAATGGGGTTGTTACCAGTGACATTGTCACTGGGCACTTGCTCTTGCTCATCGGGTTTTAGTCACACCGACCTTTCTTTTTTAATTTTTTGAATATACCATAAGGTTTTTAGGGCTTCCCTACTTAATTCTGTCACGGTTATTACGATCTCAGCTAAAACCTGTCCTTGGGGAGGCCCTGGCTGAGGACTCGCCGCCTCCTGTCCTGTCTGTCTCCCCGTCTGGACTAAATCTCTTGAGGGCAGGAGCTGGGCCTGTTGTTTCTCCCTCTTTTATCCTTGCTGCCACCCCCATTGCCGTGTATTGCAGACCCTCACTCGGTATTTGTTGAATGAGTGAGAAAAGGGGTGCCTAATCCTATGGGTTTGGGGTTAGTGTCAGGCTTCCAGGAAGAGGAGGTAGCCAGGTTGGAGTTTCAGAGAGAGGGGACTGTGTGTGCTGCTTCTCGTTCTTATTGCCAGTTTGGTTTATGTCACACTCTTACATTGGACCAAATATGTTCCTGATACTCCATGTCTGCTAAGTCTGTGAGCTTCTTTAAGACAGGGACGAGTTCCTCGTAGCCCCTAGCACGTCACCAGGCAGCTGGTATGGGCTTAACAGAAGTTTACTGGATAGATAAATAGGTGGATGGGTGGATAAATGGACGAATGCATTAATAGATGACAATGCAAAGAAGCATGAATGGATGAGACTACTCAGAACTGGAAGCAACTATGAAAAACCATGTTTGTTATTTTTCCTTCTAATAAAAGATGACACATTTCCAGTCAATCAGTAAAAAGTCATAAATAAATAAAAATGTATTAAGTACAATCATTAGCATTATGTTATAGGGGAAGAGTTGTTATACATATCCTTTTTCCCTAAGGTGGTATGTTGAATAGTCACAGTTGGTCTGATTTACAGAGAAGGGCAAGAGTAGGTGACTAGTTGTTCCAGGACTGAGGATTCCCAGGATGTGGGACTTTTAATGCTAAAACTGGGGAAATTCCGGGCAAACCGGGATGGCCAGTCATGCAAGAGAGAGAGCAGCATCACAATGATGGGCGCGGTTTGGCACTTAGGGGCTGGAGTCAGACATTTTTCTCAA